CCTGGGAGTAAGGAAAGATACTGTTTTACTTGACTACACAATAATATGAATTTCAACATTTTATCCTCTGTAGAAGAACTCGTGCTCTCCATTTCTGAGTTTCAACACTAATGTTGTCCCCACAGAAATGATGCAAAATCTTGCAGCACTGAGGACTATTTTGGCAGACAGATATGCCAAACTATATTTTGTGGGGATACTGCTGGATTTTGTGTTACACTGGCTGCAAAGATTACGTTTTTAATTAGTGAGGGGTGTGCAGAATATGAGATAGGTGCCTCTCAGTTTTACATATCTACAGCAAATAAATCAGTAAACATTTTCAGACTTGTAGAGTTCACTGCAGAATAAAACTCCCCCCACATGCTTCCTTGGCCAGCTGCCACTAAACTTCCCAATAGGCTCAGCATCTTTAGTACACAGAGAGTCTACTCTTCGCTCTCCACCAGCATTCATCTTTTCCAGAGAAATCCTGAAGCTGGGAGAAGGCTAAGGACCATATTTTTTTCTCCCATCTCCAACCACACTGGATAATCACATTAGTTGGATACTTCTGCTAAAATGGTCAGCAGTAAACTAGTTACAGGGGGTAATTTTTACAGCTTATTCTGAAGCTAGTTCAGTAAATTAAAAAATGTCCCACACAAATTAGGCATGATCCTCTGATTCCTGAGGCCAATGTGGACTGATACCTAAATTGTCACCATTAGGTTTCACAGTTAATAACTCAGTGAGACAAATGGGACCAATTCGCATTTGTTAGATCTATTAATTAAGCTCCAATAATAGTGTACTTGGTACTGCACAATGCATAGAAGAAAATATGGTCCTGGCTCTAAGAAGTGTATAATCTAACAAACAAATCATTCAGATACAAAATGCACTGGGACGGCCCAGAGCATGGTTCTATCTCAAAGTGAAGCCAGGTATGTTTTTTTGTTTTGATAGGTATGCAAGCAATTCTTAGGCAGGTGGGATGAAGGGACACCCTCCCCTTAAAAGAAAAAAATTAGGAGACCAGCAAGAGGGGGAGGGGGTGGACTAAAATGGACTGACTTCTGAGGGGACAGCAAATAATCTGCCTC